TATAGTTCCTAAGATTTCCCCATGTTATGCTTCTGTTACGTTTATACTCATATTTCATGATCGTCCGTCAGTCAACATATACTATGAATCTAATAGTTGCTAAACACGTTTTCATGATGGGTTTATAAGTTTTGTTTGAGTATTTTTTGTTTGATGATTTGCTTATTCTTGTGACTGTGTTCCAACAATCATTTAAGAACGTAGCTCAATGATATGGAATTTTCTGTTTAAAAATGTTGACTTCAATAAAGTCAACATAACATTAAAACTGGTCACACAGAGTTTGAGATTTCCACATATAGCTCACATAAAACCTGCAAAAAAAGCAAGTTCATTTCACTAAATCAATAAATCCCAAACACCCTTCTGTCGCAATACCTTGGAGTGATAGTCTACATTTTCATCAGTAAGAGTGGCACTTTGTAGTATTGTTTCTGATGTAAGAAATGGTCAGATTTGCAATTCCTAATTGGTTGGATTAGTCTTCAAGACCTGCTTAACGCTAAGGTACAGAGACTTACGCAGTAGTCAACCTATGGCACATAATTCCTGGCCATGGAAAGATCTATTTTCATAATTAGAAATTTTTATTTATGAAATTATAACACTGAATTTGATGTTAAAATGACCATATTTCTACATAATCATGAGTACTGAAGAAATGGAAGAGAAATGAAATACTTTGTCTCTTAATTCCAAGCGATATCACTCTTTTTTCCAACTATAGAGATTTGATCATCTCAGACCATTTTTTTCTAAATCTTCAAGGAGCAAAATAGTTATACTAGTCATGTAAAATTTTACGGAGGCATCTAAGAACAGATATTTATAAAGAAGAGTGTTTGAGAGTACTGGATAGGAACCACTAGATGTCTCTTTTCTTAAGTTTTTTGTTTTTTGTTTTTGCGGTACGTGGGCCTCTCACTGTTGTGGCCTCTCCCGCGCAGGCTCAGCGGCCATGGCTAACGGGCCCAGCCGCTCCGCGGCATGTGGGATTTTCCCGGACCGGGGCACGAACCCGTGTTCCCTGCCTCGGCAGGCGGACTCTCAACCGCTGCGCCACCAGGGAAGCCCCTTAAGTATTTTTAATACCTCAAAAACTAACTGATAACTTATTTGGATAATAGATTACACATTTCTCTATGCTTTACAGTGAAAATGTGTGCCGAAAATAATCAGAAAACAGACTGTGAGATGCTAAAATGTAAATTTATTGGTAGGATCACATAATGTTTCCAGCATCTTCTCTATCTGATTGGAAGTGGTAATGCCCTTGATTCAACACAGTATTGCATAATCGGTTATTCAGTCTGTGTTGTTTGAATTAGGATGTTTTAAAAATATTGGATATGTTGTTTTTTAAAGTTAAAAGGGGAGCAGGCATCATCTAGTCCAATTCTAGGCACAGAGAATGAGCTCAGTTCTTATTTCTTAATACAAGAGTTTATGAATAATTGGATATGTGAATTAATGAATGAGTATTTGAGGCTGTTTAGTGCCTTAAGTCTAAAGACCAAGGACTCTGGAATGAGATCTCATGCATGACTATCCCTCAGGTTCTGAGTTCATAAAATGGAAAGTATCTGCTTAGTTTATTTTCCCAAAGAGGTAGGAGCCCAGAATATTAATGGCAGGAATTCGTATAACAACACTTGGCAGGAGAGGGGAGCAAAGATTTTTGCAGGGGGCTGTTGTGCTTGAATCAAGGAAGGCAGCAACCTGTAGCAAAACTGAGTGAAAACTTGGGCATTTTGACAAAGTAAATGTCATTCTCCAGTGGCTAGGGGGAGAGCAAGCTTCTCTGTAGAGTCCAATGGATGATGTGACAGAAGGCCACAGGACAACTGCAGATCTTTTTGAGCAAATTAGTTCTCATAATACCCCAAGGAAAAACTCTTCAATATTAAAAAAAAAAAAAAAAGGGTTGCATGGTTACATGAAAAAACACCCTTTTGAGTCCAGACCGAAAAGATGAAGCTATTGATATAAAAGCTCTGTGTAGCCAGGAAGGCATGGCTTGTAAAAGAAAATAGAAACTCATTTTTTCCACCTCTAAGATATTTTACAGTAAATGAATTAGTTTTAAAGTACCTTAAAGTGTAAAAAAAAAGTGTAGCTAAAAAAGAATCATCATTTCTACCACATGGGGAAGAATTCTGACTGAATTTAAAGTGTTTAGCTGGCACTTATGCATGCATACAATGGAAGAGGCCCACGCATAGTAAAAACCATGATGTTCATTTCTCTGTTGTTTGTAGTGTAGCCATCAATGAAATTGGGAAAAAATGAATCAAAGGAAAAAGGAGCATGTTATTTTGTTCATTTAATTATTGATTGATTGATTCATTCATTCATTTATTAGTGTTGCTTATGTGTAACTTATATATATTTGAAATGAGGTTTTGTTGCTTTGATTTGTTCCTGTTTTTGTTTTGTCTTAGAGAAAAATTGTCAGAGATAAATGTTCTGAAATGTTTCTTCCTTATTTCCTTCCCCCTTCTTTCTTCCCTCTACCCCTTCCTCCCTTTTTTCCTTCTTCCCTTCCTTTCTAGAAACATCTTGTTTACTTCCTCCTTATAGAAATATGTTTTTTAGTACAAGCAAATAACATTAAAACAAAACCTTCGGGATTTTATTTTTATTTGGAACTTTTCCCCCGTTGGATTGCTTACTGTGATACTTCCTTAAACATGTAAACAAATAATTTATTTTCTTATTCTTCTCCCTTCTCCATCTATAAGCAGTAATTTGCATCTTTGTGTGTGTGTGTGTGTGTGTGTGTACGTGTGTGTGTGGTGGCAAGTGAAAGTAGTCGTCACTGAATCCAAATGGGCTTTGGTTTCTTAAATTCCATATCTATTCCTCAGTGATATCAATAGATCCTTGAATATTACGTTTTAAATCATGTTTGCATGTTTAATCATATTGTTTATGATAATTGTGGATTTGTATAGTTGGTTCTCAAAAATTAACAAACCTAACAAAACTATTTTTATTATTCTTACTTCCACATATTAAAATTTTTCAGGGACTTCCCTGGTGGTCCAGTGGTTAAGACTCCACACTCCCAATGCAGGGGGCCCGGGTTCCATCTCTGGTCGGGGAACTAGATCCCACATACCACAACTAAGACCTGGCACAGCCAAAAATAAATAAATAAATATTTTAAAAAATAAATAAAAATAAAATAAAATTTGTCAGCACCTATGGATTTTGTTTTTTGCATTTGCCACCCAAATCTACATATAATTTTATACTCTGAATTTAAAAATATTTTAGTAGATTTTTTTAGAGCAGATTCACATCAAAATTGAGCAGAAGCTACATTCAGCATATATAGCATTTTTTAATATAACCATATAATTAATTTTAATTTGGGATAATTTAGTAGATAGAGCAGTCTTTTTAAGTGCTTCTCAATTTTTATCTCTTTAATAATTCATTCAGAGAAACAATATTCCAAATGTTACCTTGTTTCAATTAAAAAAAAATTACTAGAAAGCCAAGCAAATAAGCTATACCATCAGAGATTTTAAAAGTAATTAAATTCTGTGTATACATAAGTGAGTCTGCTATACTCTTAAATAATACAGACTATTTGTACAACATATACGTTTAAATATCAGATGAGAGCCAATGTGGAAATTGTAGTAAAGATAAAAGAGAACTAAACATATGATGCAGGATTAACTGTGGTCTACTGAAGAGAGAAAGGAACCTTGATCTCAATAAAAGATTTATATTTACTAAAAGATTCAATGTAGTTACTAAAATATTGATAATTAATTCAATCTTGCACACTTTTTCATGACTTTTCCTTCACATTTGCCTGCTTTCCTGAATCTCTGGGTCACTTTATATTTGCTCTATCTTTGTGTACATCCTGATTTTACCCACGTGGATTTTCATTAAGTGGCCTCCCAATTAACGTAGAAATAGTACCATCAAGCTTAAGAAAAAATAAATCCAAAGCCTTATTTTCAACCATGTAAGAAATGCTTCAGACTAGGAAGCTCTTTTATAACGAGTCAGTGACACAAAAACAGCTGCATAGTCGTATAATTTCTTGAAGCATTATTTATAAATTTTGCAGTGATAATTATAGTGGTAACTGAGAAAAAAAAGAGTACAGCACTGGCAATGAAAGTGACAAAGGTAACATCAGAAGAAATGGAATTGATAATCCTTAATAATTTCAGAAAAGAAAACTATTGAATTTATTTATTAGTATATATTTATTTATTAGTATATATTATAAAATTGAATGGGATCTTAAAGTATTTTACCGGAGGTTTGTTTTCTTCCCAAAAGAACATTGATTCTAGAAGTCTGTTTAATTATCCAGACTTTATGTAAGATAAGAAATAACTTAAATTTTAATTATCAAAATATATGTTTTTCTTGACTTTTGATAATAAAAAAAATGCTGACATTGATTTTCGTTGCCAATATGTTACAAAATTATCAAAACAAAGCTTAAACAACAAAGCCAGTCTCACAACAGGACTCAACACACCAATTAAGAAAAGAGTAAACTAAAATTGATTCTTCTTGAACCTGCTCTGAGGTTCACTGAATTAATATTTTGGTGGAGTCAGGGAAAGAGAGAATTATGAGGCTCATGGAATTTTGAGTTAATGAATTCCTTTTACCATCCTGGGTTTGCACTTGGCATCATTATCCAAAATGATTCTGTTAATGTCAGGAGTTAAGGGGCAAGAGAAAAAGATCATGGACGGGTGATTTAATATGGGGTTATATGCTTGTATTATTTGTCAAACTCTTAAGTAAGTAAATATAGAACATAGGCATGAATAATGTCTAATATCTTACTGTATCACTTTATTCTAAAGTATCAGATATGTTTATTTTTTCTCCTAATTATATGCTCAAGCTTGATAGATTGCGATGTAACTACTGTTTCAAATTTTCAAAGAAACAGTCCAGGCTAACTGCTTAAGCACAAACCTAATTTGTGTGTAAAATTTTATCTTTTTCAGGGAGCCCTATAATCTACCTTGGACATTACACAACTACAGAGAGGATCGTTTAAGACAAGACAAGCATATCCAGGGATGAGATGGTAGAGAGAAGCAGATGGCAAGGACCATATCTTGGAAAGTACACATGGTTAAGAAACAGAGAAGGTAAGAGGAATGTAAGATAAATGAGTTAGAAAATTATATAGAAAAAGGAAAGAAATATAATTATTTATTCTAGTGAAGATAGAGGTAAAGAGCAGGAAAATCAGTGTACAATGCTCTTTAAGAATTGAAAGCGTTATCTAACAGAGGATGATGACTTGATATATAAGAATAAAAAGGCTCTTAGCCCTCTGAGGGCATGATTGCTAGACCCACAGGATCAGGGCCACAAAATAAGTTTCAGTGGTTATGTCACAAGGTGGAGTTTAAAAAGGTAGAAGGAAGTAAACAAATCTACAGTCTTTATGGCTAAAGGCTACCAGAAACAAGACTGAGTGCAAAAATGTGGAGAAATTTCAAACAGATATAAATGATGGCCAACTCTATTTATTATTCTTTGTCTTTTTCCCTGTTATAAATACACATTGCAGACTCATCTTTACAGAAGATGAATTAATTGCACGACTGTTTCAGATTTAAACATATCTGGGAAAATCAAAATTATCTGTCGAAAGCTTTTATAATTAATTGATATAGTATGAATTAAAAAGAAAGTCAACATTATTTTTTTCTATTCCTTTGATGGAGAGAGGAAAAAAAATGGAAGAAGGCTTTGACAAAGAAATGCTTTTACTGTTCAAAGGGAACTTGTTTAGGAAACGGAACACATTAGCGTCTGATGCTAGAGCTTTCCTTTCAAAGTGAAATTAAGCTGAGTAATAATAACCTCCTCCCTTCTGCCTTCTTTAAATAAATACATTCGAACATAAAACCTTGCATTGTGGTATGAGGCTTATAGCTTCTTTTACCTTTAATGAGACCAGGCAAACCACGGGTTAAGAATGATATGTTAATGAGAGAAGGGAGTAGAGGCAGCCCCAGGATGTAAAGAACTTTTATTCTTCATGATTGTGTGGAGAGTTTCCTTCACTTGTTAGCCTCCATGCATTTTTGTAACACATGAAAGACCATATGGACTTCCAATTGTAAAGGTACTTTGACTTGGGTGTTTATATTGCTTTGCCAAGAATTTACATTTCCTTAATGGTAGATTCAGCCTTCAGGGACTACTTCCTCTTTCCTCAGCCTACAAACCCAAAGGCATTCTCCGATCATCTCCTATCCCTTGGATCCCTGAGCTCCTCTGCACACCCCTCTTTCTTGTTGCCTAAAAGCTCTTGTTTATCCCCCTAGTTTAATTGAGAAATTGACCACTTAGATTTAAGTATTCTTCTCCAACCCATGTTCTGCTTTATTCCAATCTCTCAAACTAGACATCACATATTATAGTTATATAGAACTAATATTCATTTATATTTACCCATATAGTTAAATCACATTTTTAACCAGTGTTTTTATGCGTCAAATCTACACTCTAAAATCATTTTCCTCATTCCTGAAATGTGTCTTTCACAATTTACTTAGTGAAAGTATGTTGGTGATAAACACTTTTGAGTTTTAGATGTCAAAAATTGTAAAATTTCATTCTTGATTGGAATTTTGAATTTTAAGTTCTATTTTCTCTTAGAACATTACAATTATTATCACACTGTTTTCTGGCTTTCTATCATTGTTGCTGTCACTTAGTCAACGGTCAGCCTATTGGCTCTTCGCATTTGTCTTTTCTCCCTGAATGTTTTAAATTTATTTTTTCTTCGAAGTCCCTTCACTTCAGTGTGAAATGTCTAGGTGTGGATTACCTTTTGCTTGTAATTTCTATGCTTCCTGGATCTGAAGTTTACTGTCTACTAGCTGGAAAACTTTCAGACACTATTTCTTTGAATAGTGCCTCTTAAAGTTTGTTTCCCTTTCTTTCCTTTTGGAAAATTAATTAAATGTATATTAAAATGTTTCTATTTTCTATATCGTTTTTAACATTTCTTTCATAGTTCCATGTCTTTTTCTCTCTGGACTGTATTCCGCTAGCTTTGAGGATATCTCTCCATCTATGTCTAATCCATTGAGTTGCAATTTTTCAATTGTGGTTTTCATTTCCAGGTATTCTTTTCATTATTGTTAAAACCTGTTGGTTTATTTCTTAAATGTTGCTCACGTTTTCTTAATTGCCTTCCTAAAAGCATATTAAACATACTTATTCTATATTTTGTGAGTGATAACTCCAAAACCTGAAGTCTCTGTGTTATGTGTTTCAATGCTCAGTCATGGTACCAAGCTGCCCTGGGTATTTTATGATCTGTCACCGTGAGTCCCAAATTCTTTGAGGCCTAGGTTGAAGTTTGTTTGTTTTTCTTTAAAGGTTTGCGTTTCCTTCTGAAAATGCCTGAGGATAATAACAATCTTAATCCACTATAAATTAAATACTTTTGGGCTTCCCTGGTGGCGCAGTGGTTGAGAGTCCGCCTGCCGATGCAGGGGACACGGGTTCGTGCCCTGGTTCGGGAAGATCCCACATGCCGCGGAGCGGCTGGGCCCGTGAACCATGTCCGCTGAGCCTGCTTGTCCGGAGCCTGTGCTCTGCAACGGGAGAGGCCACAACAGTGAGAGGCCCGCGTACCGCAAAAAAAAAAAAAAAAAATTAAATACTTTTCTTGAGGATTTTGGGGATATATAGGTGACATGAATATATACATCAAAACCACATGAGGTGTGATTTGTAACTATGAATTTTCAGGGAAAATTTTCCCCTTCTATCTAGAACTAAGGTTTAAAAGAGTCAGGAATATTTTTTGACTGTTTACTTAGTGGAATATTTGTACACTTTTTACCTTTAAATATGGGTATAGCTTATAGGATCTCAGTTTCATGCAACCAAATTCATTATCTTTTTCCCTATAAATTCCATCACCATTTCCCCCTAGTTAGGAATCTTCACTGCCCTTGACCCCTGTAATTCCCTCACTTTCCCACATCTATTGATGGTGATATGGCTTGCATTTTAGTCCCTGGACGTAGGGTTCTATCTCAATTTACCAAATGCAAACAAGCCCATAACACTGCTGATTTGCTTCTAGATGATCTGGTCCTGTGCGTATGCTTATTTTAAAAATCTGTATTATACACAAAAGGTTCTCAATACTTATTTTGAAATGAATAGATAAATGAATACTGCGGTCCAATAAACAAAAATTTTCAAAGTCTACAACAAACAACAGTGGCTTGTTCATGATAAAATATAGGATTGTATCCTGTGCCAAATATAATATAAACTAATTATATGGTCATTGAAGGAATAAGTGCCCCATCATCATTTCCAAAACTTTTATTATTGTTATGGTGTACTTGTCATTAGGATAAAAGTTATGTTGCAATTATGCAACCATTACGCTATTAATTTATTCCCTCTCCCTCCTAGCTTTTGCTATCTCAAACCATAAAACCATCTGGGAATCTATTCTGGCACAAAACATACATTTGGGAAGAGCATGCAATTTTATTTTTGCTCATAAGCCATATAAATTCTATTCAGAGCATCTTCTATAACATCTCTACAGTTAGATTTCAACCTAAAAATAAATTCTTAAATATTAAATAGATCTGGTTGTTACTGTTTCTTAATGAATTAGTAACCAAATCCCCCTTTTATGACCAAAGGCACTATAATATCCTTGGGTTTTTAGGGTCAGATTCAAATACACTGCAACATATTTTGTTTATATTGGCAGTGCACATTTTTTGATACAATTAAACCCTGGAGTCAGCCACCCTCTCTGCTCTCAGGTGGAGTGTCCCTCTCTGTATTCTTTGGATCCTAAGTGTTTGAAGAGCACCTTATCTCTGAGAACATGGGTTTCAGGAATACATTGCCTGGATCTCCCACCCATTAGTTTTGCCCCATTATTATTCACCACCTGCAAAATGGGCTGATAAACTTATCACATCAGGTAATTATCATTTTTAACTGAATCAATACACGTAAGGTGCTTAGAAGTGTGTCTAGCACTGAAAAAATTCCTCAATATATGACTCGTAGTAGCAGCAGGAGTAGTAATGTCTTAATTCCCATGGATTTTAATATAGTTAGAGGCTCAATGTTTCAAGTCTAAATAATTCCACAAGCTTCAAAATGTACAACTTTCCTCTGACTCTTCTACCGTTAGAAGAATGACACACCAACTTGATATTACTTGTGAACTCTTTTTCTCTGCTGAACACTGATGTTATCCTTTGTCTATCATCTCAAATTCACGTTTTGTTATTAATCTATTGCTGCTGTGTAATGTGTGGCATAAAATGACACATCTTTAATATCTCACGGTTTCAAAGGGTCAGGGTTCTGGACACAGCTTAGCTGGGTCCCCTGCTCCAGAATCTCTCACAAGGTTGCAAACAAGGTGTTTTTTTGTACCTTATTGAAGTATAGTTGATTTACAATGGTGTGTTACTTTCAAGTGTATAGCAAAGTGATTCAGTTATATATATATAGATAGATATACATTCTTTTTCAGATTCTTTTCCCTTATAAGTTATTACAAGATACTGAGTATAGTTCCTTGTGCTATAGGTCCTTGTTGGTTATCTATTTTATATAAAGCAGTGTGTGTATTTTAATCCCAAACTCCTAATTTATCCCTCCCCCTTTTCCCTTTGGCAATGATAAGTTTGTTTTCTCTCTGTGAGTCATAAAAGGGGGATTTGGTTACTAATTCATTAAGAAACAGTAACAACCACTATTTCTTTGTAAGTAAGTTCATTTGTATCATATTTTAGATTCCACACAAAAGCCATATGACATGATATTTGTCTTTGTCTGACTTCCTTCACTTAGTATGATCACCTCTAGGTCCATCCATGTTGCTGCAAATGGCATTATTTTATTCTTTTTAATGGCTGAGTAATATTCCATTGTATATGTACCACATCTTCTTCGTCCATTCATCTGCTGATGGACAGTTCTGTTGCTTCCATGTCCTGGCTATTGTAAATAGTGCTGCAGTGAACATTGGGGTGCATGGATCCTTTCAGATTATGGTTTTCTCTGGGTACATGCCCAGTAGTGTGATTGCAAGATCCTATGGTAGCTCTAGTTTTAGTTTTTTTAAGGA